ACACACACACACACACACACACACACACACACACACACACACACTGAAAACTTGTGCGCACCCACTGATGCGTCCTCCTCCTCCTCCTCCTCCTCCTCCTCCTCCCCCCAGCAGGACGCGCGGCTCTTCTCGCCCTCCTCCTGCTCCAGGAAGAAAAACAATTTGTTGAAGCGGGAGAACATCCATCCAGCGGCTCGCTGGGTCAGAGGACGCGCGTGAACTCAAGCCTAAAATGAAACTAGGTTTTTATTCTTTAACGTTTCCGTCCTGAGCGGCTTCGTGAAGGAGCTGCGCTGCAGGAGGCAGGAGGATGAAATCTGCCCAAAGCGCATCAACGTGCCGGAGCACGCGGACCTCCGCGGACTGAACTCCGGGTCTCCAGCTGGGAGGGGGGCTTTATCTGACCGGGGAGCAGCTGCACTCTGGAGGTTTCCAGAATCAAAGTTGATGACAGAACAAGTTGCTCGGAGGTCGGATATTTTTGGACAGACTCTCTGAGCGCGCGCCTCTCAGGTTTTATCTGTTTATTTTAGTGTTTTTTTTTCTTTATTATTATTATTTGACTTCTTCTGCTGGATTTCAATCCTGACCTCGTGTCTTTTGGACATCTGCGCCACTTTCCCAGYCCTGATTCCTGCCCTCCTCCCAGTCCGGAGAGGATGAGGTGTCTCTGGGTGAAGCATGAGCCGTCAGAGGACCGGTCATAAGCGGCTGTCTCTGCTATGGGAGGGGGTGGCTCTGAGTCTGTGGCTCTGCTGCAGCTGGACCTCCGGGGCGGCCGGACCGGGCGCCGGGTCGCTGGAGTGGCTGCTGTCCGATAAAGGGCCCTTCCACCGGTCCCTGGAGTTCCAGGAGGCCCTGGAGAGGTACCAGCAGGGCTTCAGCACCCGCTATAAGATCTACAGGTGAGACCTTTATTATCATTATTTTCTCCTTAAATATGGAGAATAACTGAGCCAGAGAGCTTTTTATCTGCAAAAAGCTTCATTTGCAACAAGCCCCTGCTCTCCCTCACAGGTAAAACCTGCAGGAAGCTGTAAGTTGAGCAGAGCCGTGCACAGTCTGCCCTTYTCTCCTCTCATTAAGTATTCTGACTGCAAACTTCCAGCTATACTTCTTGCATTTTGATTCAGGGAGGGGGTTCAGGCCATATGATGGATGTGTGGCTGCTGATGTTTGGACACCCCCCCATGCAGGAGCTGAGGAGTTAAGAGGTGCTGCATCCATGCTGTGACTTCCTGCAGCTGCTTTAACAGGAGCCCCTGTCACCTCTGTCCAAGTGGTCCTCACAGGGATCCACAGCTCTGCTGCAGCTGCTGGAGGGTTAACATCCCTCCTTGCCTGCACACACACACACACACACACACACACACACACACACACACACACACACACNCACACACACACACACAAACACACACACACACACACACACACACACACACACACACACACACACACAGGCTGATGGTCTCTGAACCGTGCTGACGGTGTGATATTTGTCACAGTTTTTGTTGTCTCACGGGGTCTTGGCTGAAGAAAATGATGTTACTTTTCTGCGCTGACCACTGCCAAGGCTTCACCCAAGCAGAAAAAAGACTCAGCGAGCATCTGCGAGCGAATAAATCAATTGCTCCATTATCCTATCAGGAATCTTCTTCGGCCGCGGTGTTTATCTCTCAGTCAGACGTGCATTGTTTAGTTTTATTTTTTATGCCTCTGCTGCATCAGCGTCCCCCCGGCTCCATGCTGCTTCTTTTCCWAAATTAGTGGAAAAGCCGAGGACGGCTCAAACAAAGTCGGTGGCGGCTTGTTGACACCTTATTAAACCAGCTACACTTTAGTCTGACTGCTCACATTTTAGACMGTATTTTATAAAACAGCTGCTGGTTGGAGGATTACAGATGAAATGTTTAAAGGATGACAGGACTGCAAAGTCCAACTGTTAAAGAAAAAACTCAAAACGACAAAACAGTCCGTTCAAAATGTTTTTAATACTTTTCTTAGAGCTATAATAATTAAAAAAAGCAAATCTGCATAAGGTTCTGATGCACATACTGCCTGAAACAAAGATCATCTTTCTTTTCTAAAGACTAAAAGTCATCTTGGACCCACTTCAGTAATAATCTCAGATGACAAAGTTGGAAGTAAAAAAACTTGAGAACTGAGATCATTAGAGTCACAATGGAAAGGCCACACCTGCGTCTCTGCTCTGACTGAACTAATACTGAAACACAAACTGGAAAATGAGCCTCAAACTGAGTCGTGGTGAACCGTAGACGTTTCTGTTCATCACACACCTACAGATTTGTGTCTGTAGTGTTTTATTTGTAGGAGGTATGAGGTTAAAAACACCCTTCACCTCCAGTTTTAATACAGAAAAACAACTAAGAGCCCAGATAAAGTAGAAGTCAATGAAAGTCTGGATGTGTACTCTGGAGTGAAAACTGTTATTGCAGTGCGCAACACAGTGGATGCATAAATATTTTAAATAGTAGAACTCTACATATCATTAAAACTTGTCATTTGAAAAGATATCCTGCAAAATCCACATTTTAGTTGTTAAATACATGATGATACATGGGGCTTGCCTGGTTAAATAATGGCAAAATAAAAATAAACAAAATAAAAAAACATTTAGGTGTTTACTTGGAGTCTCTAGAAGGCAGAAAAGTTGAATCTAGTTTCTCCCGATGCTGCAAAGATACCTTTATGTTCTGTTCTCTAATCCCTGTTATATTTTATGAACAATAACATCACAGTATTTACTGCAGAGCAGCTAAAAAAGGTCACAGACTTCCAGCTTACAGTTTCACAAATCTCCAGTTCTGCAGCTTTGTTGTCTTAATTCTCCTCTGGTTCCGGGTCAGGCTCTGGTTCTGGGTCAGACTCCGGTTCCGGGTCAGACTCTGGTTCCAACATGTAAGGCTGGATGGACAAGTCTTCCCTTGCTTACATCTTTTTCATTCATTTGTAAATGAAAAGTTTCTGCGCAGCCATATAATCACATCTCTGCTGTCGAACTATAAAGCTGGTTGAACTGGGTGCAGTGGACAATGATCACTGGGAGTGATGCTGCATTCCAGTTGCAGCAGAACTTGAAATTATAAAGTCGGACTGACRTCAGATCCAATTYGGAAGWGTTCCAGTTTCCAGCTTGTCAGAATGTTATAAAAAAGCATTTCTATTTCTGGCTCTGCTAGGTTTGGGTACTGAAACTCAGTTCCAGTATGGCACCGTGGCGAAGATCAACGGTAGTACACAAACCGAAACACAACTCTAATTTCGGTGCTTTATTTCGGTGCCTCAAAGAAAGCTGTTAATTGCGCCCTCTGGTGTTCACTGTTAACAGTGACAGCCTCGGCACATAATCTCCACAGAGTGCCAACAACAATAGGGGTGAGTTATGAACTTTTAATGTGTTTTAACTGTCTAATTTAGCTGTTTATGTCCGCCGTGTTGAACTATGAGTGGTAGAGAGAACAGCTGTGCCATGTTTTTACTTTTGGTTTGAAACCGTACTGTAATTAGCATGTCTACATTGTTTTTCTTTTAAAAAATGCTGGAACTGCTCACAGGAAGCATAGAAGAACACCTCTGTTGTTCTCCCTGCTGGATTAAAATAATAAGCTCTCAGTCATTTCTCACTGTTAAGTTAGAGCTGCCGCCGCGCAGCAGGTAGACGCTGCAGATCACGTTAGCTCTGACCGCAGTATAAAGTCGTGATGCAGGTTTCCTTCAGTTTACATTTCAAACTGTGATCTAAACTCCAGCTGGTTTAAATGCATTTTTTGCCCTGTGTGTAAAAAACGGGTGCAGACTGAAGCAGACTATGAGCGCTGTGTGTGTGTGTGTGTGTGTGTGTGTGTGTGTGTGTGTGTGTGTGTGTGTGTCCTTTTTCTCTGAGTTGCTCTGACAGTTTTATTTAGGCCTGTTGCTGTTTTTGCATCAAAAATGCTGGAATATTAAAACAGTCATTTTTATTTCATGTAAAAAATATATTAATCTGATTAATATACAAATAAAAACTGAATATTTAGCACAAGATAAAAAAACATGATTTTTTTTCATTTTTTTAAATGTTTTCTAGTTTTAATTTAATATGTTGGTCAATTTCAGGTTTGACTTTGTCTCAGAAATAATCATTGTTTCCTAAACCTCTGTGTGACTGTGAGTGTTTTATTTATTTATTTTTAAAGTACCGATTTAAATACCGTTTAGGAACCGGTACCGTTTTGAAATTATTGATTTAGCACCTGTATCGAAATAAACCCTTTCAATACCCAACCCTAGCTYTGACAGAGTACGGCAACAATAACATGAGTGCTTTTGAGTATATAAAAAGCATTAAAACATATCGCATAAGTTGCTAAAAAAGTACAAAAAAAGTAAGAGTCTTAATTCGTGTTGATGCTAGGAGCAGCCATGTTGAAATGATGTGGTCRGGTGTGGTCATTCCGACTTCCGGACTCTAATTTACGACATTAGGGGCCGTACCAGTTGATATTCAGACCTGGAGGGTGCGTGGTTTGAAGTGCTGCGTTTGCATTTAAAGAGACAGCACCAAACCGAGTTGCTCTCAGACACACCTCGGAACAGGGGTGAAAGAGGGGTTTGTGGAGCTACAATCATCAAAGCATTGCAGTTCCACTTTATACAGAGCACAACTGAATAATTTACATTTGAAAAGGCAGGATTTAAAAGAATATGTCCCGTTTAAGGGTTGTACTGATGCAGTGTTCAAAATGCTCCAAAACATTACAAAGCATGAAATAATGTGAAAATAAACTCAGATGGATTTTTACAAGAAGACAACATTACATTTATTTTAATGCATRAACCAGGGCTATTCAACTGATGGCCCGTGGGMCACATCCGGCTCGCGAGTGACCAAAGTTCGGCCYGCCAAYTGGTTCATTCATCTCTYAAGCTCAAACTCCCAGTTTTCTACTTTAATTACTYTWAGTTCTTTTARYTAAACATAGACATTTTTGGTGTCTACAGAAACGTCAGAATCCTGGCTACAAGCTGRTATAAACCATGTCTTTGCACACTCAAGAAARTTAAAACTACAAGCAGTTGAAGATAAARCTATCAAAGTGAAAATAAAATTGGTTTAAAAAWTTGGYAAGTCAGAGATGTYAAAATAWTATTTGTGTCAAACAGGAGGCAGAATGTCTTCTTTTTGTTTTTGATAATGTTTAATTATCACTACTTTTATAGGGTTCTGTATGTTGTATTCATGATTAAATGCAGTAAAATAAACTAATTCAAAGGTAACAGATCTTTGTAATACTTAGTTTATTTACATAATAACTTTTAATTGCTGGATGTTCGGCCCCTCAGCTGTTGCCCAGCAGTAACTGTGGCCCCCGGAGAAATATAGTTGAATAGCCCTGACGTAAACTCTATAAAAAGTGTAAAAAGTTTTTTTTATTATTTTAACAGCTCAATATAGCGATGGGCATGGCCATCATAAACCATTTTTTGGAGCTGGTTGGTAATCATCCAGGCGCTGATTCAGACCCAGATCTTTGCGCTACAAAAGACTCAGTTCTAAGTTCAGAACCATTTGAGGGCTGAGAGAAATGGCTTCGTGGTTTGACCCGAGACAACTGATTCAGATTCCACCAATTGTTTTTTTGAATTGGAGAGCTCTAAAGTTAGAGCAGGTGATAATTGACTGGAACATTTTGTGTTGAAATGTTCAACAATCATAAATCTGAAACTGCATTTGTGTGAAAATGTTTGGAGACGGTCCAACTTTCTGTGGTTTGTTTGGACTTTAAATATTTCTCTGTAAAATATGGCTGACAGCTCCAATAAGGACAAAATCACATTTCCCAAATGTTTCAGCTTTTGACCCACAAAATCACAGCATCAGAGACTCGATGAACATTGTTCA